GGGGCACCCACAGCTCTCTGGGCAGCCTGTATAAATATTTTGCTCAAATTTCCACCACTTCTGTAGATAACTGCTGGGGATGGGAGGGAAGGGATTCAACTTCTTCATTTCCTGAGAAATAATACAATTAGCTCTACCAGTGATTAAAAGGTTATTTGCAGACATTGGTGGATGATCTTACATACAGAACAAAATCTGAAAGATGGATTAGCAGCATCATAAGGCTGGGGAGCTATTAGATTAGTCAGAGGCTCTACTCAGAGAGATCTAGCATTAGTTTACATATTAACGAATTAGGGAAAATGGTCTTTTGTACAAAACAGGATGTTAGGTCTACTGCAATGCAATAGTTAATTAGAAAGAATGTTTTTCTAGTCAGAAGATCTGCCTCTGACAGCAGCCATCGTCATGTGAGAACACAGAAATGAAGTCACATATGATGCTCACCCTACCAATGCAGCATTCACCGTGGCCATTACAGATTACACTAGAACCTGAAGTGCAAAACATGGCTATTTCCACAATTGGCTTTAATGTGTGCCCAACAGAAGGGTTGTTGATTTTAAGAAAGAAATTCTTCATCTTTAAACACTGAAAATAAGAAAGAAAGGGACAGACACTTTAGTGGGGTCTGTGTGGTAGGAGAAGGGGAGATGGCTTCAGACTACAAGAGGGGAGATTGAGGTGGAGCTGAGGAAGAAGGTTTGGCAGTGAGGGCGGTGAGGCGCTGGCACAGGTTGCCCAGAGAGGCGGTGGTGCCCCGTCCCTGCAGACAGCCAAGGTCAGGCTGGACGGGGCTGTGAGCACTGCTGAGCTGTGGGTGTCCCTGTGCGCTGCAGGGAGCGGCACCAGGCGGCCTTCAGCTCCCTTCCACCCAAACCATTCTACGATTCCATGTTCTGGCTGGGAGTCCAAGACTGAGAGCGCACACAGTCAAAAATAATGTGAAAAACAGTCCTTATCTGCCCATCCTTTCCACCAGGCTGAGCACTGCTCAAGTGGGCTGTGTTTGGAGCAGCTCCAGCTTGCAAAATTCTTAATCTGCCAAATGCTGAACACGGTACAGCCTGCCCCGTACCCACGTCTTCTCCAGGAGTGATAGGAACCAATGGCTCTGCACCAGCAGCCTGCCAGGCAGGAGCCAGAGCACCCTTTTCATTACATGGGTAAAGGCAATGAGGATGGTTTCTAGAAGGAGATTATTGCTGGAGGAAGCTATTCATACATCGTACCATTTGGAAGGAAAACCACTGATCTACAGCATAAAGAGCCCTCCTGTCTTTCCTGCTGGGCACCTGCTAAGCCTCCTGAGCAGGACTGGCAGCTCCAAGGGACGCTGGTTTGGCTGGAACCAATGCTGTGAGCTTGGAAACCTGACTGGGGTGGGAATAGTGCTGGGGGTTCCTCATCACTGAGGGAGAGGAGCTGGGGCTGCTGTGATTCTTCTCCCTGAGCTGCTGTTGGGTCAGTGGCTCAGACATGGGGTAGTGCAGAGCTCTGAGTGGTGCTGAAAAGCAAAACACTGTGCATAGAAAATGTCATGTTTTGAATAACACAGTACTTGAACACCCCTAAAAACCCCCACTGTAAAGGGTTCCCCTAGAGAAAGAGCGTGGAGGAAGCTTTTCCTCAGGCTTTTACAAGGAGTTGATGGGGAGAACTGTTACATCGGATAGACATGAAGGTTGTGCAGTGTTGAAGTTAAAATTCAGTTCCAAAAAACCCAAATCTTTATCTCTCATCTCTACATCTGGAGGTGCACAAGTAGCTAAACCTGCTGCCTGCATAATCTTATTGCTGGAGAGAGAGAACCACTAAGAAAAGCAATGAGAGGATATCCAGAGAAGGGCAACAAAGCTGCTGAGGGGTCTGGAGCACAGTGGGGTGCGATGGGGAGCGGCTGAGGGAGCTGGGATTGTTCAGTGTGGAGAAGAGGAGCTCAGGGGGAAACCTCACTGCTCTCTGCAGCTCCCTGACTGGGGGCTGTGGTGAGTTAGGAGTTGGCCTCTGCTTCCAGTGAACAGCAATAGAATGAGAGGGAATGGTCTCAAATTGTACCAGGGGAGACTCAGATTGGATATTAGGAAAAATTTCGTCTCCACAAGAGTGGTCAGGCAGTGGCACAGCTGCCCAGGGAGGTGGTGGAGTCACCATCCCTGCAGGTGTTTAAGAACCGTGGAGACGTGGCACTGAGGGACATGGTCAGTGGGCAACATTGGTGGTAGGTGGATGGTTGGACTGGGTGATCTTACAGATCTTTTCCAACTCAGTAATTCTAAGATGAGTAATTCAAGGGATTTTTCGTCAGCATGAGCAGCAGCAGCAGCAGCAGCAGGTTCTATGGTTCTCAGCCAGGTCCAAATTCACAATGTTTTCCTAATTCCTGACCTTGCCTCCTCCTCGGTGCCTGTGGACGCCATGCCCTGCAGATCCCTGTTCCCTGCCTGCTGCTCCTCACTCTCTGGGCCAGCAATTCACCACACACAGCAGCTCAGGGCTAATATGCAAGGAACAACACAATTGCTCCAGGAGCTGCTTCCCCTCACACAGAGCTCCTGGACAGGGAAACAAAGCACCTCCTCCTCCTCTTCCTCCACCTCCCTCCTCCAGCGCAACACCATCGCCCTTAATTGCGGTGCCTGCAGTGCATTCTCAGTGGAGCCCAGAAAACAGCATCAGGAGACATCTGCAGGACAGAGGCTGTCAGTTTGACAGCTTTCCTGTGGCCCATCGATTCCACATCTTCTGAAGAAAATGACAATATTCAGGAAGGCACTGTAGTGTACAAACATCACTTAGACATTGATTTCTGGGAAATAGAAATGCCTTTGGAGCAAATCTGTCTCTGAACACCTTTCCCACGCAGCCTCGGGCCAGATTGGAGCTGCAAAGTGTGGGGAGGAACCAGGGCTGGCATCGGGCACAGGGCTGTGACCTTGCTGCTCCATCCTGCCCTTGACCGCTCGGTAAATCCGCAGCTGGATTAGCTGAGGCACGCTAACAATCCGTGTGGGCTCCCAGCTGGAATTAAGGTGGCTTTGCCGCAGTTAATTCAGGATGGAATTTGTTCTGTTTCAGGGCTCTGCCCACACCTGCGTCCCACGGCCCTGCATGAGCAGCCCTGATTCTGCGCTGCCCTGGCAGCGGTGTGTGGAGCTCCGACCCCATTCCCACAAGGCTGCAGGTGCCAGTCCTCCCTCTCCCTTACATTTATGATCCCATCCCCCAGCCTCCACCCATGGAGCTATTTGGATAAAAGCACTGAACACCCCTCCTTTCAGGGCGGTTTTCTGAGTGTTGCTCTGTCCTCTGCTGAGAAACCGTCGGCAGTGAAGGGCCATGAAGCACCGTCCTGGTCTGGGCAGCACCAAGAGGCATTTCCCAGTTGGTCAGGGACACTGATCCTCCCTTCCTGCTTGTGAACTAACACCGGACCTTCCTGACTTTCTCCTAAAATGAAAATACAGGAGAGGGATGGCGGTGCAGTTGGGTTTGCAACCAAAAGCCAGTTTTATGCTTTCCCCCTTTTTTCCACCAGACTAAAAGCTGAAACAGACCAAAGCCATTACACTGAGTTACAAGAAGCACAAGGTCAGCTTATTACTCTGCTCTGGAAAATAACCTTGGTGTTCATCAATACGATGTGACTGTGCCTTGCACAAAATGCTCTTGGAAACAGCTGTGCAAGGTGTGCTGAACACAACAGCACTGCAGCTCTAATGTGGGACATCGCTGTGCCTCTCAGACAGGAACGTGATCGGGTGTGGGAAGGGCAGTGGGAGAAGGGAACTGGGCTGACCTCGAGCTGTTCTGTTTCCCAAACCAGAGCCCAGCCTTTACCAAATCTCCTGGTGACCAAACACCCTTTCATGCCCATTCTTTTTCTTGATCCTGGGATGAATCTGAGCCATGGCTTTGTAATTTTGTGCAGTTATCGAGTTGGAAATGAACCACAGTCAGAGCTCGGGAGCTGGAACAGCCAAGGAGCTGCACGTATCAAATCATTCAACTCCTTTTATACTTTCCAGATACTTTTCTATGTTCCTGCTTTATTTTTTTTTCCCTATCCTGCATTATATGCATGTTTCTGCCTTCTGAAGATAGCTTTGCATTATCAAAGGGCAACAGGAGAAAAGAAGAAATTGTCGCTGCATTTAGCATTGATTTTTCCCCCTTCACTCTGAGTCACATAAGCTAACATTTAATTAATTTCTGACACTTTGACAGTTTTTAAGAAGACATTTGTAGAGCTATCAAGTGCTGCTGATAGCACTGTCAGACAGACACTTTTTGAATTATCAGCCATTAAGGACCCATATGCAACAAATTTCCAGGGTTTATTATACAAATTGTTCTCTGAATGAAAAAAGCGCACAAAAGCTCAGTGAAACATAAAGAAACCATTGTTCCCAAGTGAATTTGATATTTGCAAATGTTTTGCTATTTTGATCACTTACATGGTTTTATAAATCTGATTTGCTTTTTCTTTTAGTGAGAAAATTAAATGGCCTTTTTTAGGGTCTGTCGAGAACGTGGCTGGATTTTCAAATCACAGTGGTTTTTATGGAGGTGAAGCTTGGCAAATATGAAATGGGTGATCTCAGGAAGTGCTGAGAAGTGAAACAAGGTCTGTTTCAAACCAGAAATCCCAAACAAGCAGCCAAAAACTTCAGCTGCTTTTAAACTTTTTGGCCGCAACCTCTGACATGTCCCCTTTATGTAATAACTGCAACTGATAGCCCAGACTGCAGAAATCTGGGGAAATTAACCCAAAATGGAAATGAACTTCCCAAATCCCTGCCCAGGTACCTGACCTTCAGCTCAAGCTGTGCTCTGGATGTCCATAGCACTCCCATTCAGCAGCTATCTGCACATGGGAATTCAGAAGCAAGGCCGCGTCCGCATGGTCATTTTGGTTCTATTTTACACGACAACATTTGACTGTTTTTCCAACACCTTCTCTGTGCAGGGTGGAGCTGGGACCTGGCAAGTTCACCTTCATGGATCCCCTAAACCTCTCCTGGTACAACACCGGGGACAGGAATTGGAGCAAGCCGCTCAACGAGTCCAGCGCAGACCAGAAGCCTCAGTATAACTACTATGCCGTGCTGCTCACCCTCCTCATCTTCGTCATTGTGTTTGGCAACGTGCTGGTCTGCATGGCTGTGTCCAGGGAGAAAGCCCTGCAGACCACCACCAATTACCTGATCGTCAGCCTGGCGGTGGCGGATCTCCTGGTGGCCACTCTGGTCATGCCCTGGGTGGTCTATCTGGAGGTAGGTGGCCCAGCTTTGCCTCTCAGCACTGAACGGTTCTGGTATAGGAGTACCAAGGGGAAAGGTTTGGCAGTTTGGACATCAGCTATTTCCAGACATTCTGAACTTCTCCGGAAGTGTTATGAGGGAGAATTTCTTCTCACAAAGAGTGGTCAGACATTGGAGCAGGCTGCCCAGGGAAATGGTGGAGTCACCATCACTGGAAGTGTTTGAGGAAAGGGTAGATGTACTATGGAGGGACATGGTCAGTGGGCAGTATTGGTGGAAGGTTGGACCAGATGATACTAGAGGTCTTTTCCAACCTTAATAATTCTATGATTCTATGTTTTAAATTTCCTAATAGTTGAGTTATTCAATAGACAGACATGATAGCGTATGACAGGTTTACTTGAAAATATGCTACTGTTCAGAAGGCTGAATTACTACCCAACTGCTTTGAAAATCTGGCCTATAGATCCAGGGATCAAGAATGAAAGATCTCAAGTTTGTTTTCAGGACTGCACCAACAAACTGTTCCCAAGCACAAGAATGAGCCCAAAACACCATCATGGGTGTCACACTAAAACTGCACCGAGCAGTAATCAGAAACCTATTCCTGAAGGACTAGAGTAGTAAGAAGAGCAAGCAGTTGTAGAAGTAGGTTGTAAATCCAGAGCTTTTATGTCACAATATATAAGAGAAGCAGACTCACAAGTGAGCTACTTGTCACATTACTGCCGTTAGCGTGTCGCTTCAGTACAAAAGAGCTCTATGCTTCTGCAGCACAGAGCCATACTTGAGTGGCACATTGTTTTAAGAGAGCCAGATACTCCCAAAATACCATTTACCCAGCAGCACAGGACTATTGCAACAGTAAACAGCACAAAAGAATGAAAAGCATCTCTGGAGAAAAGAGTGGAAAAGAGAAGCTTCCCCCTGTCCTTGGCTGGGATGGCTGCATTCCTCAAGCAGCCAAGAGCTGGGATGCTGGCGACCGACAGAGAAAGCATAAGACTGGAACTACACTGAATTTGCAATTCATTTTCAGGCATTTCATTAGGAGAGCAAATGATAAAACAGAGGCAAGCAGTGGAAGAAGCCATAATCAATCAGCTCGTTAAGTATTAATGCAAAGCAAAACAAATCTGCTGATGTGACACAGGCTGTCGAGAAGCCACAATACTAATTATCACTCCAGTTAATTATTGTTTGTGTGGCACTTTAAAAATGTAAAGCATTGTGCGTTTGCTGAAGCATATTAACATGACCACAGGCTGGATGTGACTGTAGCTAATGCCCCTGGGATGAGTTACACTCATGTATTGTATTTCTGTCTGACAACAGTGCTCGTGCTGCGAGGAGCCCTGGCTCTCTTTGGGCCAGCCATGGCGATAGCAGCGTTTTCCATACACTCAAACCCATGGGTTCAGGAACGTGACTTTGCAAAGCCTTATATCTGGCTGGGAACCTTTGCCTTCGGGCGAACTCTAGTCGAAGTTACTGATGTGACTTTGTCTCTTAAGAGATTTTTTAATCACTGAGTATTCATCTGTCACTCAAGCTTCAATGCAGTCATTCTTTCTTTTTCATGCTCCCTATGGTTATGTATATCAGAGCAGAAATAACTGAAGAATAGTTATCTTATTCATTCTATTTTCAAATGCAGTAGGACTCTATTTTTATTAGAGGGAAATATACATTTTCCATCACATGCTAAATACAGCAGTCCTAATAATTGCTATTAAACTTAATTTTCAAAGTTCAGTTTCAACAGCATAATACAGGAGAAAACGTCTACTGGTAGCTAGAAGCGTTATCTCTCAGTCTTTGTCTTTATCACAACAAGTAACGTGTCAAAGGATTTTCACTCTGAATTAAATTCATTTTGTTCACAAAAATTAATGCACATTAAATTTCTTCCCCGGCTTGATAAACAAAGACACAAAAGGAAGGATCCTTCTTCCCTGTTACTGATCTTTGCCAGGTGTAATTAAATTTAAAGCATAAGAGCTTTAAGGAAGAGCTGTGAGTACAACTAGTGTTGCTTGGGATATGCAGTCTCTGCCTGTCCTGTCAGACCCCTCCATAGCACTCCTAGCAGGGGATCTCCTGCACTGACTGCATTCTCTCTGCAGGTGGTTGGGGAGTGGAGGTTCAGTCGGATCCACTGTGATATCTTTGTCACACTCGATGTCATGATGTGCACCGCCAGCATCCTCAACCTCTGTGCCATCAGCATTGACAGGTGAGGGCTCTGCGGCGACAAACCCAGGGCAGCTCTTGCAGGGTAATGCAGGTCTGTGCCTCCCACTGCAGGTACACGGCCGTAGCGATGCCAATGCTGTACAACACCCGCTACAGCTCCAAGCGCCGGGTCACCGTCATGATCGCCGTGGTCTGGGTGCTCTCATTTGCCATCTCCAGCCCAATCCTGTTTGGCCTCAACAAGGCAGGTGAGTTGTGCCACCTGCAGCTGGCTTTTGGCATCTACCTGGCTCTGCGGGGTAGAGTGCTCCTTCCACTCTGGATGCTCTCAGATAGAGGAGGGGGATGTTGGTGCAGGTCCAACAGCAGGGACAGCGAGCCCGAAATCTTCTGTCTTCCAGATGAGAAGGAGTGCATCATCGCCAATCCTGCCTTCGTCGTGTATTCCTCCGTTGTCTCCTTCTACGTCCCCTTCATCGTCACCCTGCTGGTGTACGTGCAGATCTACATGGTGCTCCGCAGGCGCAGGAAGCGCGTCACCACCAAGCGCAGCAGCCACGGCCTGGACTCGGACACGCATGCGCCGCTGAAGGTAAAGTCTGTGGCTTCCTTCCTTCACTAAAACCATGAGGGACTCTTGGCTCCATTGCTGCCTCTCCAGAGTAGTCTCCATCCTAGCACTCTAGTCACATTGATTAATATCTGCTTCATGCCCTGTGCTTGTGTTTCCACGTGCCTCCCCCACCAGCAACCCTTCCTAATTACTATCTGCTTGTGTAACCTATGAGCCGGTGCTTGCCCCTTAGGACAAATGCACTCATCCAGAAGACGTGAAGCTCTGCACAGTTATTGTGAAGTCCAATGGGAGTTTCCAAGTTAATAAGCGCAAAGTGGTGAGTGTTAAAGAGAAGTGGTAGTTTTTCAGAGCATTCAGCTTTCCCCTTTTCTCCCTTCTCAGGGCTCAAAATGAATTTATGCAGTGTGGGAGAAAAATAAGCTAAGAACAAAGGTTACCATTCAATCTCAAAATTTAAATATTCTTCCTGTTCCTTAGAGTGAAGCAGGGGGTTTAACACCACAGAGCTCAAAAAGCCAGACTAAGCTCACCTAAAGATCAGCTATAAAAGCCATGACATTTTAACAATTTTTGTCTCTTTGATTTTCTTCTCCTCTCTATTATTTACTTTGAGTCTTGGACTGCCTTGGCTGTGTTGGGTTTTCTTGTAGATTTTGTTTTTATTTACACCGTTAAAACTGAAATCAAATATATGGGGAGGGGAGACAGTGTCTCTCCCATCTCTTAACCTCCTTGTGCAATGAAGGAGCAAGAGTCATTTCCTGCAGTTCTGTCAAACTCAAATGTATTCTCACATGTAAACAACTTTTAGACCTTTCTCCAAGTCTCTCCCAAAAAGCAGGGAGGGAGAAGAGGTGTTGGTTGTTCTTCAGTGTCATCCAGCTTCACTCTGTAAGAAACATTCATTGCTCCTCCCTGTATATTTACCTGCCTTATGGTGTGGGCATTTGCTTCTCATCCAGGAGGCAGAAAGTCACATAGAGATGGAAATGGAGATGGTGTCCAGTACCAGTCCCCCTGAGAGAACCATTGCCAAGCCAGCAGCACCAAGCAACCACCAGTTGGTTGTGCCCATCGCCTCAAGCCGGTGCACCTTGGACAGCCCTGGGAAAGTAGAGAAGAACGGACATGCCAAAGAAAATCTACACACAGCCAAGGTCTTTGAGATCCAGTCCATGCCTAATGGCAAGACGAGGAGCACTCTTCTCAAGGCTATGAACAGGAGGAAACTCTCACAGCAGAAGGAGAAGAAAGCCACCCAGATGCTAGCCATTGTACTTGGTGAGAGCGCACATTGGCTTCACCCTGTGTTCCTCAAGACAGGCAACAGCTAGTCAGGGTTAAGGCACCCAGACTGAGCGCTCGACACAGAATGTTTTCCCAGGTCCCTAAAGGAACAGTTCCACTCAGTACAGCAGAAATGTGTTTGTGTAAACAGGCAGGAGGCTTCAAGTAGGAAGGCTGCATCCCTCCAGCCAGGAATGTGGCACGAGGCTGTACAGAAGGCTCAGGAAGCTGTCCAGCTGTTCAGTGTTTGCAGTGCCAAAAGACAGGGGCAAGAAAGATCACGTGCTTTCTAATACAGCTTATAGCACAGGAGGCAGCATAGTTCAGTAAGAAACCGGTGCCTCTGAAGGCCAGAGGTTTTGATGCAGCCTATTTACAGCAGCAAAGAATTTCTTTACCACTTGGTTACTCAGGATATAGTCAGAGACATAGCAACAAACAGAAGGTTTACTGTTCTCCTTCTCAGAAATTTTCCAGTTTTCAGCAATCAAGATCTGTCTCTTTCCTTTCCCCCCAGGTGTTTTCATCATCTGCTGGCTCCCATTCTTCATCACTCACATCTTGAACATGCACTGCGATTGCAACATCCCCCCAGCAATGTACAGCGCCTTTACGTGGCTTGGATATGTCAACAGTGCTGTCAATCCAATTATTTACACCACCTTCAATATTGAATTTCGCAAGGCTTTCATGAAGATCCTCCACTGTTAAAAGTAAAAACATTAACCACAATTTTAAGAATGAGAAAAAGAAACCAATGCCATTCACGCGCACAAACAGGCAGCCATGGAGAGGTCTCGAGCTCTTGCGCTGGGCATGAGGAGCGCAGTGCCGTGGAGCGCCGTGCCCACACGCCTCTTGGCAGGGACATCATGGGGACCTTCATGCTGAGGCTCTCCCCCTCCTCGGGGCGACCTTTGGGCTCCGGGACATCCATCCCAGAGGCACGTCTAAGAGTTACCCTCACACTGTGTTTGAAGTGGAAGCAAAAATCGAGACACACTCGCTTGATTCTTGCCTGTGGCCATCTAACCTTGAGTGCATTAAACACAGACACTCGCAGAGCCGCGTGCAGGCAGTGATGAGTCACTGCTGCTGGCTCGTGCATGGAGTCACCGATACGATTCTCACCAAAGACAAGAGCATCTTTTCCGCTTTGCAATAGGAGCCAACAGAGCTTGCAGAAACTCCGTACAATATCTTTGCCTTCACCTCCAGCTGACTTATCCAGCATCAAACTGCTGCAGCCCTGAGGGAAAACACACACACAAATTTAAGAGGTCCCCAGGTGGGTTAAGAAGGCTCTGCCACCTACAGATCCAACCCCTGCAACAAGCAATGGGCAGAAGGAGAAGGGGGAGCATAAGTCTCATGCAGGACCGCTACATCAATGTAAATACGAATAAATAGGATGAACTGAACAGAAGCCCAAGCCAAAAAATAAAAGGAGAGAGAAGTTAAAGAAGTGACACTTTGTACTGCACAGTATGCACTCGCGTCAAACAAGACACCAACCATCACTGATTGTCAGCCAGCCCAGCAGCAATTTCTACCCACCAGCATTTCATCTCCAGACTTTCTCAAGAAGTAAAAGCCAGGTGAGGAGCGATAGCATGATGAATGTAGAGACATGATGACTGTGCCAGGAGAGGCTGTGCATCTGGGGCCACATCTGTTTCAGATGTGAACTTGGACAGGACAAGTTAGGTCCAGATCTTCCCACCTAACTTTAAGGCACCATAAAGCCAAGGATCACCTCAGATACGGTTTACCTATGTTTCTCAACAGGGAGTGTGTAACGCCGTGCCTACTTCAAATTAATAGCAAATGAGATCGAGACTGTGATTTTGGAAAAAAAGCCAGAATAAAAGCCCAAGAATGTCCCTAGCTAAACCTGCTCTGTGTCCAGGTGGGACTCTGGATGGGTCCGGATGTTTCCAGCATCCCTTACCCTCTGCTATGTTTCATAGTTTAAAACAATTGGAAATCCATAACAGTGTAATGTCACCACGATGACTCTGGCATTGCCAAATCCACTCTGTGCTTATCGTACTCAGTTCACAATATATTTTGTAATATCTCTGTAAATAAAATACAGTAAGATGAATAAAATGACATGGAAATAGGTCTGGCTAGAAACTGATGTAGGCTCTGGAGAGCTTCATGATGACAATAGCCATATGCAGAGGCAGGCTCCCTCGTTCCAATCACCCGCTCTTTCCTGAAGATGTTAAAGCAATCCAGAGAGCAATATAATCCCCTTTTTCTCTATGCAGTTTGTGGAATATCCACTCATTTTCTGCTTTAGATCAGACAAAGACCGCTACCAAGCAGCACTTTTTTCATTATCTGTTTTTCCTGTATAGTTAACAAAGGGTTTTCCCATGGGATGGGCTGCACGGGCTGTATGTGTTCCAGCTGTACGTCAAGGAGAGACTGTGTCAGGTGGCTGTAACACTTGCTCTCAGTCGTTTTCTGAAACCAAGGCAGGAGTCCCACCTTGATCTGAAGCTTTCCCATCTAATCCTCTGTTCCTGGAAGAAGCTGATAACCAGTGTTATTAGTATTTTGCCCATGAGCTTTTATAACATTTGAACATGGCTCTTCGAGGTCTGGTCACAGCTATAAATTTAAATTACAGATGCCTGAATGTGTAACTCAAGAGGTCTCAGGCAAGAAGCCAGAGAAGTTTCCACCAGGTATGTGCACGCATTGATGGGAGTCAATTCAGACTGGTCTTAATTAAAAGATTCAAAGAATCACTGGATGAGGAAAAAAACATTGATAACCCAATGCTTATTTTTCTATCACATTTACAAAAGCAGAAATGTGCCATTTGGCTCTGTGAATTCCCAGGTGAGGAGCTGAATCAAAACGGAAAATAATATGCATGTACACAAAAAAAAAACCACAACCAAAACAATTAAAGCATTTGGAAGTTGCCATAGGTGATATTTGCTCTTTACTAACGCCTGGTGTGGGCCCTGAAAATTACCCAGATGTGGATAAAATGTCAACCTTGTGCCATAACTTTACCTTCTGCTCAGTCTTAACTCAGGATGGGACAAAACCACCATCTGTGCTTGCTTTCTGAATCCAGCTCAACACATCCAATTTTGCGTTCATCTGGTGATGAACAGCTCTTCCAAAACACCATGGGGAGAAAGAAGCTCTCAGAAGGAGTCTGTGTTCTTCATGAATTTGCTAGTTAGGGTAAAGAAGGATGGGTATATTTTCATAGAGATTACGTATCTTTTGAAAAGAATTACCCACAACCCATCATCACGGGGAGACCTCATTGCAGCCTTCCAGTACTCGAAGGGAGTTTACAAGCAGGAGGAGAATGACTTTTTACATGGGACTATAAAAGAGGGGAGATTTAGATTGGATTAGGAAGCAATCCTTTGGTCAGGGCGGTGAGGCACTGGCGCTGCTGCCCAGAGAGCTGTGGGTGCCCCATTCCTGCAGGCACTCCAGGCCAGGTGGGATGGGGCCCTGGGCAGCCTGAGCTGGTGGGGGGCAGCCCTGCCCACGGCCGGGGGTGGCACTGGGTGGGCTTTGAGCTCCCCTCCAACCTGAGTGTTCTGAGATGACCATTAATTGCAATGAGGCTTTTAGCCACCTGCTCCTAACACTCTGGACTCAGAGGTGGGAATATCTGTATCTCTGCTGTCCTTGGGAAGGCAGCATTGCCATGTCTGCTCATCTCCTCTGCAGCAGGTTTGCCTTTCCCAAAAGCACCCACTCTTAGAGAACAAGCTATAGCACTTCCCGTCTATGAACCAAGCCTCCACAGCTCTGTGAAAAGATGAGAGCTCCTGTGGCTTTACACAGAACGAACAATTGCCAAGAGCAAGGGCAGCCTGCAGTGGCACAGCACCTGGCATGGTGACATCCAGCCCTGAGCTGGGCAGCTCCTCACAGCAATAAGGCAGCTGGAATGCACGAGGCAATGAGGTCTCCTGCCGCAGACCTGGGCACAATATTGAACACAATTTGAGAAAGGTTTCTTTCTCTGCTGCGAGGTGAAATCTGCTCAGAAACACCTGTTACAACCCTTTGCTGCAGTCCTTATTTTGTGATTCAGTATTTGTGTTCGAAACTTGAGTTTAGCTTATGGAGTCTTCCCATTCCTGCATTTCCTCCATGGCTCACAGCCCCATGCTGCGGTGTAGCAAAGCAGCTGGGGGACCTCCTGCCTGCACCGATGCTTCCCTGCTTGCTCCCGCTGCGGCTGTGGGTCTGTTGGTCCTCCTGACCAGCTTGTTGAATCTTGCTGAAAGGAAAAAGAGAGCAGAAAAACAAAACAGAACAAAAAGCCACTACCTCTGTGGTGAACATCTCCAGTGAAAACACGGCTCCTGGAGAGTCAGGAATGTACATTATCCATCATCAGTACATGTGACGGCAACAAATGTCCTCATCCAGCACTGTAATTAAAGAGAGACTTGCAGAAGCTACTCTGATGTCATCTGCTTGTTTCATTCTTTTACCAGAAGCTGTGACAAAGCTGCTTTGCTGTAATGGGTCAGTCATACATCATACAGACACAACAGGAAAGGATGGGCTGTAGGTGAGACCTTGTATTTTTTCTGACTTGCTTTGCAGATCAGTCGCGTTTCTTCTTTCTCCCTTATCTCAGTTTTTGTCCAGGAATCCCAACTTTTGTCTAGACAAAGCCTCAGATGTGGGAAAGAAAGGGTGCAGAGAGCCAGGCAGAAAAGGCTCTTAAATCTCCCCATGTCTCTTCTGGTCTAGACAGAGGCAGACTGGGGAGGGAGGGATGACAAACAGCCGGGCGCAGTCGCACTGGTACTGCTGGCACAGCAGCTGCCTGCAGTGACTTCTTGGCTCTGCCCGGCCCGCAGCAGCACAGGCTGAAGGCGGTGATTGAAAGGCACTGCTCCCACCAGGCCACCATTCATCTGCTTGGCCTGCAAGAGTCATGAAAACAGACAAAATGAGCCAAACTCATCCACCAACCTGCCACCAGTTTGGTGCGCAGCAATAAACAGTCCTGCGGAATGAACAAATTCTCAGTCTCCTCGTGAAGAAAACACACACAGAGCACTATGGCACTGCAGGCAATCTGTGTAGGTACAATATTTTTAGCACTATAGCTATGTAGGAATGCATATGCCCAAAAAACCTAATTCTGGACTTCACTGCTCTGAGCCCACCCGAGGAGAGAATCCCCACCACCAGCAGCACTACTGAGGACGAAGGAAGGGCTCACAGGGAGCTTTTCTCCTCCTGCCTTTCTCTTGTCTTATGCTAGAGACTGCTAGAATGTGTGAGAGATGTTCATTTTGGAACATTCACACTTCTGCTGTGCTTATGCCACACTGTTTCCTCGTGCCAGCTGCTGAGATATTAGACACTGATGCAGGAATCAATCCAATAGATGCACACAAACCTCAGCCAGGCTCAGCGCAACAGCAAGACCTCAGCCTCAGCCTTGGCTGCAACACCACTGGGGTTCTCTCCAGGATTAGTTTTCATTATATGACAAAGCAACCACAAAACCCAGCAGCTGTTCCTGCTGCCAGGGCAGAGCTACCAACATAGAATTCCGCTTGATGGCGTTTTGCTCCTCGGCATGAACCAAAGGCCCCAGTCTACTCAGTCTTGAGCCAAAACAGGGCAAAACGATAATTTCTTTTTGAAATTGAAGTTTTACAAAGAAAAAGCATTTCCAAAGCTATCAAGTT